ACATGAAGTACCAACTCGACATTGTTGGACTCTCGTCAACGAATCGCCAAGGTTCTGGAATCCGGAACCTCAGCGGGTGGAAGCTATTCTACTCAGGCGTCGATAGCATGACGCGCGCTCAGACCGGTGTTGGTGTTCTAGTAGAACCAAACCTTGCAGATTGAATAATTGATTGGAAGTCTGTCAGCGGAAGGGTGGCAATCGTCCGACTGAAGTTACGACACGCTAAAACGTTGACTCTGGTACACGTCTGTGCGCCCAATCTAGAGGGAGAATATGTCTTTCCTTGAGAAAATACAGTGTGCTCTGTCCAAAGTGCCGATTACAGAGTCCCTCATACTCATGGGCGATTTTAATGCGCATGTCAGAGTAGACGCTGAAAAGTGGAACGGCATGATTGGAAATAGCGGCCCTAGCGACCTCAACAATAACGCCATGAAGTTGTTGCGGTTTTGCGCAAACGACGGACTGTCCATTATGAACACGTTCTTCTAGCATCGAAGAGTGCTTAAGTATACCTGGTACCGGGAAGCTTATGCACAGAAGTCGATGATCAATTTGATGATCTATCTTCTGACATGACATGCTCAGTAATGAATGTTTGCGTAAAGAAAGGTGCAGGGTTCTCAGCCGATCACCGCCTTGTTGTTGGCACTCTGCGCTGTAAGAAATGGAGTGCCATACGAAAATCTAGTGGCACAAGCAACCTGGGATCAAATAGTACACATTATTTTCGGTGTACACGAGAAGGAAATTTGTAAACAACATCGCACGGCGGTTGGAAGAGATTCCTGTGATGACAACTGATGTGGAAAACGAGTGGCAGCTCTTTAAGAGGGTCATACTGAAGGCTGCCTGCGAGGGCTACGCAAATCAACGGGTGGGCCTGCCTTCTGGAGGTCAGAAAAGACCTTACTGGTGGACACGAGAGGTACAGCTGACAGTTGATGAGAAAAAGACTGCATTCAAGAAATTGCTTGGAAACAAACAGCCTTCTACTCGCGTGCGATATATCGAGGCACGCAAGGCAGCAGCGAAAGCAATGGCAAAAGCCAAAGCTGATTCCTGGGAGAAGTTCGGTAAGATGTTGGAGTCGAATTTCTACACTTCAAACAAAGTATTCTCTCAGACCATCCTCCGGCTCTGAGGTGAGGGCAGTCTCAGAATCTTGAAGGGCAGGTCTGGACACCTTCTTACCGAGGATGATGAAATTCTCCGGCGATGGAGAGAATACTTTGAGGAACCTTTAACCCTGAGCAACCGCAGGAAGATTCACCTGTAGAGCATGAGGGAATGGATATTACTATCTGTGTACATGATATTACACAAGCTGTGGAAAGCTTGAAAAATGGAAAGGTTGTTGGAATTGATGAAATCCACCCTGAAATGCTCAAGGTATTATGGCGACAAGGCATGTTCTGGCTTACACGTGTCTGTGAAACTGCGATGACTACGGCAAAGACACTGGCGAACTGGTCAACGGGAATTATTGTACCTCTGTTCAAGAAGGGCGACCACAAAGAGTGCTCCAGTTATTGGGGCATTAGGTTATTGTGCCTAGGTAAAGTCTGCGCAAAGGTGCTAGAAAGGAGATGCTGCGGAATAACTGACTCCAAGATATAAGAAGAGCGGTGTGGCTTCTGTCCCGGTTAAGGCACCTCTGACCATGCATTTCCC